GTCGTTTTATTCATTACAGTCGACGCAGTTCCTGACAGAATTGGCACGGCTATATATATGTAACTAAAATAAAGAAATTGCCATGTGCAGCATTTCTCCTTTTCAGCCATCCTTTTTTGTCACTGACCCATGCATAGAGAACTGCATCACATAGAGTATAATCACATTTGGAGTTTGCTGATTGTGTTTGTCACAGCAAGAGACCTTCACATGACTCGAATCCATTCGCTTTTACAGGTCTGATCTTCCTTCACCTCTGAAAACTGTCTCCATCTAGCGGCTTCCCCCCTGCACATCTATCAGTGATGAATGTGAGTCAATAACCTGAGACGTGAAAATATCCGCAACACTTGCCCTCAATCTCTCAGCTCACGGTTCAGCACTTCACTGAATTCCAGCGAAACTTTGATTAACAATAATTCAAAGAATACAGTTGAATAACTTTACACAGTTCGCTATATAAGACGTTCGTTTCATTTATGACACAATACAAAATAAGCATTTAAACGTAACACTTCTTATGGAACATTATGCACCATTCACACAGGCTGTGTTACATTCGTATGTGTTAACTGATGCCCGTAGCACGTGACACGCCTCCAATGCGCCGTGAGCAGAAGCAACTTGGGCTCCACCGCAGACTCACAAATCTTCGTCGGTAGCGGATGAAGCAACTTCCAGCGAATCATTTGTTGCGGGTTCACTTTTGTTCGGGTTGCAGACAGACCCTGCGAAGCTGTTCTTGGGTCGTTGGATTACAGTTAAGAGGACAGGGAAGTGCCATTTTCTGCTTTTAAAACACAGAACGCGCACTAGCCAAGGTGGTCTTCTCTTCCTATGAAACGACCACGGTGGCAGGTTTCTCTAAGAGCGTCAGTGTCAAACACAGAAGCTGTGGACGATAAATAGGATGTCCTTGGACAACGTGAATCCTCTACCTGACTTCTAAACTTGTTGCATTTGCTCTAGAACTCATCCGGGTGCGCGTTTCGGATACTACTTTGTGCGTAACTGCGGAACCGCTATTCAAAGTGGACTATAGCTGATGAGCTGTGTGTAAAAAAACCTGCACTTTTACATAAATATCCATTTATGAGGAGGTAAGTTATGTATCTTGCTCCTGAACAATAGGTTACACTGTAAAAAAAAATAGATGCATTGCATCCTCAGCCATTCGTGTTTAACCGAAAACGAAAAAACCTGTTTTTTACTCATGCATAGTGCATGCATACTGTACACCACCATTAATTTCTACGCTCCACCTTGCCATTCGAATGCTTTGATCTTGATAAATAATATGACTCATTATGCAGTATTCTCCTGCACGTGAGCAATAGCCTTCCTTGAACTTTACATCAAGTGATTGCGCATTGTGTCTGTCCAGATGTCCTTTCTGCGCGTGGCGGATTTGTGAGAGCAAAACCTGCTTCAGTCGCACCGGGTCGCGCACATTGGGTCAGCATGGCAGCCGGAGTCGCCGCTTGGCTACCGTTCGCGCGCGCCGCGGCCATAGGATGGATGCCCGTGGCGAGTGCCCCGATGCCGCCGCCTCCACGGGAAAAGAGGCGAGGTCAGGACGGTCTGATCATCTTGAACGTCAGCGGCACAAGGTTTCAAACTTGGCGGAATACTTTGGAGAGGTACCCCGACACCTTACTGGGAAGCACAGAGCGCGACTTCTTCTTCCACGAGGAGACCAACGAGTACTTTTTCGACCGCGACCCGGACATTTTCAGGCACATCCTCAACTTCTACCGAACCGGGAAGCTGCACTACCCTCGCCACGAGTGCATCTCCGCCTACGACGAGGAGCTGGCCTTCTTCGGCATCATTCCTGAGATAATAGGGGACTGCTGTTATGAGGAGTACAAAGATCGCAGGAGGGAGAACGCGGAGAGAATTCAAGACGATGAGGAGAACGAAAACAACAACGATTTGGTGCTGCCGGAAATGTCGTTCCGCGAGACCATGTGGCGCGCGTTTGAGAACCCGCACACGAGCACCATGGCGCTGGTGTTTTATTACGTCACGGGCTTTTTCATCGCCGTCTCCGTTATGGCCAACGTGGTGGAGACTGTCCCGTGCATCAGCGGGCCAAACCGGGCGAAGGAGGTCTCGTGCGGGGAGCGCTACGCCCTCGCGTTCTTCTGCTTGGATACGGCCTGCGTCATGATCTTCACCGTCGAGTACCTGCTGCGTCTTATCGCTGCGCCCAGCAGGTACAAGTTCGTCAAAAGTGTCATGAGCGTAATTGACGTGGTGGCCATCATGCCTTACTACATCGGCTTGGTCATGACTGACAACGAGGACGTGAGCGGGGCCTTCGTCACCCTCAGGGTCTTC